CTCAAACTTTAAAGTTCTTTCAACAGCCAAACATGATACTGAACTTCTTATAAAAGAAACATTATACTATAAAAACTTCTTCCATCCTAAATAACACACAGTCTTCACTGGATTTAAACCTATTTTAACTATTTCACTTGTGCTACAGTTTTCATTTTCTTTTTGATATTTTTCTATACTAAAATTGTTTATTTCTTATGTATATATATTTCTGTTGTAATCACAAATATTGTTTGTTTGTTTTGTACCCCTAGATTACTGATGATGGAATTATGAGGATTCTGAAACAACTAATAAATGCTTCCCATTATTGCATTTGTTTTGTTTTATCATTAAGCTACATTTTCCAAAAAATGAGTTGATTACTATTATACTCTACACTTTTGTCAGTTTATTACACAAAAATGGCTTTTGGCAATTTCAAATGGGAAAGCAGGCTTTAAGTGATGTTTAGAGCACAAAATTTGGTTAATTAATGAATTGAAATGAATGATATAGTCCAATGAAACATCTTTCATCCTTTTCTGTATTATAAGAAAAAACATGTAGTACACAAAATAAGCACTTTTGTTTGTTTGTAATTAAGAACAAAGCTACACAATGGGCTATCTGTGCTCTGCCCATCACGGGTATCGAAACCCGGATTCTAGCATTGTAAGTCCGCAGACTTATATGTGACCTAAAACATCAATACACCTTCTCCTAATATCAGTACACCAGAATTCTAGGTTATTGAATAAAGAATGGAAATATTGCTTTACTGATAATTGGATTAATATTTATAAGCTATACAACCATTCAATCATACATATAGCAAATATAAACAATTTTATTCCCACAAACAAACCTTTCAAGGGAAAGTGTGTTTAAAAACATTAATTTTTGAAGGACAAACAATTTGCAATGCACAGATTAGCTGCTCTCATATTTTCACAATTTCAGTACATGTAAAAATATAACTTCACTTCTAATGAATTTTTCTAAAAACATAACTTATTTGCATTCAGAAGAATACATTCTTAAGATTAACTGAATTAAAAAGTATTTACTTTGAGTTTAAGAATTTACTAATTTTATTGGCTATAGTACAGAACTCTTACAACAATACCTGTCCTGACTTAACAAAATTTTGTCAGCTGGGCATATGGGATAGAATTTAACCAATAACACGCACTCATACTTTTATCAAGTTAGAAAAAATAACACTTCTGATGGTACTGACTAAAATAATTCTTTCATTGCATATTGGTGAGTCTAACTACTTTTTTACAAAAGCTTCTTCTAATACTTCTTTTAATAGCAAACCACTAATGTTCATAGTTTTAAAAGAGGAAAAGAAGCATTTGAAATGGTTAATTACAAAGTAAATGCACAATTCTCTGATGAGTGAGTGCTCATGTTGCACACAAGAAAAATAATAAATATTTTCATATAGTCACACAATATTTTTTTTGAACAAGCAAGGTGTTGCAACACAATTATTAAATTCCTGTTCATAAACTTATTTTCATGCCAGCCTCTAAGGCTATCATATTTGAATAAATTTATTTGAAGCCAGAATAGTAATAATCTATGAACACCATTGAGTTGGAAAATACGTCATCATGAACATTATTATTGCATACAGTAAACACAAATTAATATAAAAACTAAAAATTAAGAGACATTACCTCAACTTATTCTTGTATTTGTCAAGAAAATATTTAGCTACTGTACACTCCACAGTCTGTCCATTTTCCAGCTGCAGTGGAAATCTATGAGTGAAAGAAAAATAATAATAATAAAAAACTCAGTGTGATGAAAATATTTTTTTTTGCAGTTGTATATCTATCACGTGAAGCTTAAGGCCAGCAATTACAATATTCACAAAGATGCCCATGACACAATTTACTTTGAGTATTTTATACAACCCATCAAAGTCTCTTCAGAAAATAATAATGTGATCTGTGGTAAGAGCCAACAAACGTGCACTGTTGGGAAGCCACAAGAGACAAGCATAGGATGCATGACACAACTACTTGGATTTAAACAATCTGAATGACTAGTAGAATAGATCATGTTATAACTCCTCTTTTAGATGGGCACGTATTTAATATGTACCATGCCATCTTGACCAAACACGGTAAAGAGAAAAGGTATCTAATATAATACATTCTAAGAAAAAAGACAATGCTACCTCAAGTAAAAATCCACTGAGCATAAAAATAGGATTAATAAACTTGTTCTTACTCGTATCAATGTAGTTCCAGAAAGAAATGTAGAAGACATGGCAAGAATATTGTTGCTCAAAAGCTGGGTTTGGCTGTTGTATACACTAGCTGTGCATAAGTAACTCAGTTCAGGTTGAACTGGTCTATTAGGAGCTCAACAAGATACATCTTGATTTATGGTGGTTGCATGATGCATGTTGAAAAGACTCTCCAAAACTGAGAAATAGAATGGCAGGTTGAATATGATAATGAGAGCACTGTATTGTATGGTCTGAACTCAGCTGATGTGGAGGAAGAAGCTGCTAGTACTTGATTAATTCCATGTAAGACAAGGAAATTCTGGTAAAGAAGCAGTTTGTTTTGTTCTGAAGATCACTCAAGATGCTGCCCTCAACCTTCTAATGATTATGAGTATGGTTATTGTGTGACCAACAAGTAGGACAGTTATTTGATTAAAAATATCAATGGCTTGATTATGATAAAAGTTAAAACAACTGGTTGGTTGAAAGATCAACAGTTGAAATGGTGTTATGACCCTTGCTGATCAAGCTATCAAACTATTTGTTAGTAGTACCTCAGTCTGATGCTTCACAATAATCACTTAAATCACAGCTAGATACAGCACTATAATAGATGAGGTTGTCAAAGAAGATTACAAAAACCAACAATTAGTTTTGACTGTTGAAAATAACTTGAAACTTGGACATACAAATATGCCAAAAGGACCTAACAGCTCTCAGCACAAGTTTTGTAGCAAATTTTGCCAGATATTATTTGCCTAATAAACTCAACAAGTGAGCTTTTGATCTTCTAATCAAGCCAAAACAACCTTGGACAACATCTTCAGAATTGTGGCTTGACAAGCTAGTAGGTCCATCCTAATCTTTCTGGAGTGCAGTGAGTTATGCTCTAACACAGCAAAAAATTTGACAAAAGTCAGTACAAACCAGAGTAAAATGCTTATTAGTTTCCTATGTTTTGCTTTGAGTTATTTTTCATCATATTTGATTTAGTGGTTTTTCGTGAGACCTACATCATAGTTCCAACAAATAAGCATAATAATTTGTTGGCTGCTTTGTTATGATGGTGAAAGTAATTCTGCTTTTATTTCTAATGTTTCTGTTATGCTGAGCTGTGTGTATATGCATTTATTCTGCAGTCAGTAACAAGAAATGTAAATTGTATATAAGCTTATGAAAGAAAAGGACATTTCTATTTATTTTCCTTCGTGGTAACATTTATTTTGTGATATCAAAAGGACTGGAGTAATCTAACTCTTTAGGTAAGACTTGAAGGCCTTACCTTTGATTTAGCATTAAACTTACACTGGTGTTATTTGTTATGATTACAAGGCTTCTCCTGAGATGTGGCTTCATATAACATAATGTTAACTGACAAGAAGAAACTTTTTGGTCTATCTAGGCGGTCCTATCCACTAAATTATCCTAAATCCTTGAAAAAAACAACAACCTTAGAGACAGCCATCATCGTTCAACTCTTTACCAAGCTTTCACTTTAACTCCCTTAAATTAACTACATCCATTTTACCTAAAGGCAACCCATTCAATAGGCTGATCACCCTGTCAGAAAAATAAAGCTGTCTTAGCTGAAAATCACTTTTTCCCTGCCAAAAGTTAACATTTTCCTTACATGAAAATGTATTTCTGATAGATACTCAACTCTTCACACATTTAAGCTATTTTCCCCACTCATCTGTTTAAGAGATTTTCATGCCACTAGCCTTGAGGCAACTCCCACCTAATCTTATGTGATCTACATGAATTATGCTACTAGATGATATAATCATGCAACAAAGACCTCCAACAATATGAGGGTGGCATACTTCCATGCACACTAGCTCCCCCTATGCATTTGCACTTGGGAATCTTCATTTTTTGATGAGGCAAGTAAGAAGATGTGCACCAGAAATGGGGAAAATGGGTAGGAATGTGTGAGAGATGAGTATCTATTGGAAATACATTTTCAGGTAAGGAAAATGTTAACTTCTGAGATGGTACCATACTTCTGCACACAGTTAAGCTAGAATCCCATGTTGAAGTGATGAAGAGGGCCAGTACAAAGACTTATCTAGATAAGCACCCTTTAGAAAGTGTCTAAAGGAAGCCTATGAAATGTAACACTCAATGACAGGGACTCCATAGAGGCATATCCTTGGGTGACCGCATCCCATCTCTCACATGAAATGTAACACTCAATGACAGGGACTCCATAGAGGCATATCCTTGGGTGACCGCATCTCATCTCTCACATGAAATGTAACACTCAATGACAGGGACTCCATAGAGGCATATCCTTGGGTGACCGCATCTCATCTCTTCCAGGGTATACTCTTTGCCTGAAAAGAAAAAGGCAAACAAGACAATGTTACATGGATGGGAGGAATACGAACATGGCCATCTGAGTACTTGCGCACAAGAAGTCACAGAGCCAAAATGTGTAGCATGGTTGAAGCTTGTTCACACTATGCCTTGCGTGCTCATCTCAACTCCACCATCAGACTTTATTGGGCTGACACCACCTGAGGGAGGATGGCACAGTAGTCATGCACTTAGAGTGGTATGGTGTGTGTGCACACATTGACTCAACTGAACAGACATCAGCTCCACAAGGAGGGCACAGTTTGTGGTGCTTGCCTCAATTCAACTAAACATGTAATGACCGCAGGAGGAGGGCACATGTGTATAGAGTGTGCTCACCTCAACTATATTGAACAGACATGGCCACAGAAGGAGGGCATGGGATATGGTGAATTCTCGTATAAACTCAACTGGACAGTCACAAGTTGCAGAAGGAGGGCATAGTATCATATTATGACTTCATCTCAACTCTACTGAACAGATTCTAGCTGTAGGTGGTGGGTACAGCATTATAGTGTGTGCTCACTTCAACCGACTGAGAAGACTCAGGCTGCAAATGGCACAAGTGGCATATGGTATAGCTATGTATGAGGGGTAACCTGTGCTACACTGATGGTGTCACCACCACTTCACTTCTCACCATATTGATATCCTCATTTCTGCCTCTGCAGTTAGTTCCCAATCAGTGAGGATTCTCCATTTTTCACCACCCAAGCTGTTAAGAACTGGTATGTGGCAAGAGTCTTCTATGCTCCACTCTATGAGAAAGGGGGAGGGGGGGGGAAGAATTTCTAGTGTGGAGACCTGGAGAAAATGTCCAGATACCCATTAGTCCTCCAGCCTGGAAAGATCTTTTACTGGAGACAGTGCAATGGGTTACTGTGTAAACCTATTTTACAAAGCCAGCAATTGTAAGCCAGGGACACAAGCAGAACACTCTCTGGTGCTGGTTTTTCCCTGATAGTCTATGGAATAGGTACAGTCTGCATCAGAAAAGTCATATACACCATGAGGATACCTCAAGTGGTCTTGCAGAACACCCCATCTTACAGTGAGCATATATATATATATATATATAGTGCCAGGTCAGATGGTAGGAGAACTTTCTGTTATCCTGGCTTGATGCAAAATAAAATGAAATAAATATACTCTAAGAGGCATCACCAGCCACCTGGCAAGATCCTATGAATTCAAAAGGGGCTCTGACCGAGAAATAGTATGCACTCTTCCCAAGCAAAAACCATCATGAGATAAACCAGCCAGAAGGTGTAGAGGAGATGAATATGTGAAAAATGTCCATACCAGGATACACGCAAACACAACAAAGTCCACCCATGAGCTACCTGTTGTCACTGTAGTTGATGACTTTACCCGTCTGTCTAACAGCATGGGAAGAACAAAGCATCTGCTTCATATATGGACAAATATGCCACTGGCAGAGGATTTTGCACTCTTTCAAGCTCTCCAAGATAAATCACCACTCTGGCCAGTAGACATAAGCATTGTTTTGGCAAATGCTGATAGATTAGACAAAAGAAGAGAACCAAATTTCCAGCTCAGTTTAGGAGGTGTCACGAACTAAACAAAGGGAGTCATCTCAAACCTTGAATCTGGAATAGGCATCCTCAGGATGGACGTGCTGTGGATTTGTGGATTTTATCCAACAGTTTTGCCTATGCAACAAGTGAGTTGATGTACACAGGAGAGTCATCCAATGCTTTCTACATCAAGCCCAGAGACAGTGGATCACACAAGAAAACATGGAGCAGAGAATGATAGTACCTCCATGACACAAGTGGTATTCCATGGTTTAATCTGGACACAGTCTAATACGTTTGTGATGTGGTGATAGAAGCCATGCCTGAGATAAACTTTTTTGTATAAAAAACATGGAGCATTAACTCAGATGATGATCTTTCTGACAAGGAATGACAGCTGGGTGTTGTTCCGTAATTACAAATGACTGGCTATCCAGCTAGATGGTGGAATAGTCACTGATATGATAATGGAGGTAGAGGTAATCAAGACTGTTGGTTACATTATACTTGCTTTTATAACACTGTGACTAAGAGCAAATACTAGGTTGCCGACACATCTAAAAGCATTGGTTAATGATTATGTAGGAAATGCAGACCCAGTGCAGTGAAGGCAACTCAGTGGCTTGTT